ATAAATTATAATCTCCTATTTATAAATCCACTTGTTTATGTTATCTGAATGTATAAAAATCCACTTTTAGATATTCACCAGGTATATTAAAATTTAATAAAATAAGAATATAACATTTTTGGATAAAGAATTTTTTGTTGGTTCATACTTGGATCATACAGTACAGTATATTCAATTATTTACATGGATACAATCCTCGATTTGTCCACTAAAACTTTTCCTATTAAGTAAGATGAACAAGTAGTTTTACTAAATGTAAGGTAGATATCATATAAACAATTTTCTTAAAATATTAATTATATCAAAATATTTATTATCTCATAATTATAAATAAAGTAAATATCTCATAAATAAATTCCTGATTGCAAATCACATAAGAATACTATTTTTCAATTAGAGGCACTTATTTGACATTGGAATCGGTTTTGAACATTCAATTAGGTTGACTACAATATGATATAAAATTCACAAAAACATGTCATTCAAACTCATGAAACTGAAATACATCAATACAAACACGGTTTAACATCTACTAATCCATTTCCATGTCTGTTTCTCGGTTAATCTTAACTAAAATCAAAATATATTATAAAATTATTGTTAAAATACATTAATATTAATAATTAATATGAATCTTGGTACCATATACTATACAAAAATTCACACAAACTTGGGTTAATAAAAAGTGCTGTCAAACTGTTGGCATTTGCCAGACGTTCCCGACAGACATATGCAATGAATATAAGCGGGGATGTATGCATTGAAAATGGAGATGAAAATAATTGTAGACATTATTTGAATTAGCATCACTTTGAATTGAATGAAAAGTGATTTAAAAGCAATTGGATTACAGTCGCGAAGAGTGGTTCACATCGAGTAAAGCCATCGATTGAGTGTTGAGTTGAAGTGAGCGCTCATTGAAGACGAAGAAGTGATGGAAAGGGAAGGCATTGGAAACGGTTTGGAGGAAAGGGTTGTACGAAATGTAGTGAACAATAGTGACGGCAATGAATGCATTGCTTTCAATGCAAACCATTCCTCCGATTATTGTTTTGTTTGCAAAACTTTTTTCGACCGAAATCTGAAGAAAAGTCGCCGAAGAATACTGCGAGACAGGGATGACTTGGTCTCACCACTGCTGCTCTTGCTATGGATGGCGCAGAGGACGGGCATCTGGTTCTCCAACCACGACATCCATCTGAACGCCGGCCCTCTGGACCAAGAGGTGACCCAACACTTGCAGCAACAGTTCGCGTGTCGGAAGTGCTTCGAGAGAGTGATTAAACTGCAGAGAGATGTCCACAATTTGGAGACCGAGATGAATGTGATTCTGGATCAGAGTTGTGACACTCTGTTGGAGTTGAATATCATTAGAGGCGATGAGGAGAGAGTGAAAGAACTGAAGTCTGAAATACAGCTCAAGACTGACGACAGCCTGAAGACTAAAAAAGTGAGAAAAACTAAAACTAAGAAAAAGACTAAACCTTTGGTTAAGAAGAAGAAGAAAGCGGCCAATACTTCGCCACAACAACCGCCACAACAACCACAACAACACATCCAAAAGACTAAACAAATTCTGTAATTACAGAATATTCTCGTTTTGAAAATTTGTTTTATATTTTGATTCATTTTTCAGAGTATTAGCCAAAGGACAGGAAGGGGAGGGACAGCAGCTTCTGGTCCTTCAGGTGCCCGCACATGACGATGAGGGCGAAGACAGTCAATCATCTGGTAATCAACTGATAGAATACAACCCGAATGTCGACCATCACTACCATAACGATGAAAATGAAGCCGTTTTTCTCAGTTCTAATGCCATTCCTGTGACCACTTGTGTGACCGTCACTTCTGACGACCAGCTTTTAGAGGTTCAGTTGGAACACAACAATGAGGAGAGCACTGAAGATAGAGGTGAAGAACTGGAAGACGTGAGAGTCGGTGACCGACAGGACATTGAGATGAGAGAAGAGGACGAGACCACAGAAGCTGTTAATACTATTCCGGCCGAAGAGAAGGATTGGGACGTCTATAACAACGACGGCGTTATTGTTGTCAACCAAATGAGTCATAAGAGGAAAGGCGAGGACTCGGAAGTGGTAACCGCTATGTTATCCGATGAGTATGTCTTCAAAACCAATTGTTTCTATTGTTTGTGACTAATATTTTGCAAATCTGTTGATTGGTTTAGTGATTACGAAACGGATGCAAAGAAAAAGCACAAAAAATCTAAAGAAAGTTACAATAAGAGGACATACAGTCCCAGGTCTTCATCACCTCTTCCACCGGCCGGAGAGTCCAAAGTTGTCGTTCAGCTCTTGTATGGCAGCAAACAATGGAAGCGAACGATGGATGGAGACATCAAATCGATAATAAGAGATTTGGCTCTAAGAAGACCAGATCCGGCCGGACGTAAGATCGCCGCCTCGGATAAGCTGTGTTCGGCTGTTATGAAGAACTACTCGAAGCGATTGGTTGCCGAATGCAAGGAAGCGGCGCGAACTATACGAGTGACAGACCATCAGGACGTGACTCAGTTGGATATGAAGACATTCACTGATGAAGTGTTCCTCAAGTGTCCAAAAACAGCGACTTTAATCAAATCCTTGATTCCGGTGGAGCCCAGGGATACACTGGACGAGCACTCGGCCACTGCTCTCATATTGGGTGTCATACTATACATGCATTCCATGCAATCAAATACATTACAACATATTCTGAGTTATGTGTTGAGGCGCGCCGGTTGTAATCGCGACGGCTTTAAATTCTTCCATTCGTTAGGTCTGACACTCAGTTATACCAGTATTTTGAAGATAATGAATGACATCGACGCCAAACCAGACATCGAAAAGTCCTCTTTAGATACTATAGAAAAGTCCATCGATTCGGTTGTCGTCCGAACAAAGATTGAGGCGAAGAACGAATCCAAGAAAAAGAGCGCACAAGTGGTCACTCAAGAGACCACTCAAGTGGGAGATCCCGTTCTCCTGCAGTTCACACTTCCCTACTATCAGACGACAACATTCGCCACGAGTCGCACCCCATCCCTCACTTACACCACTAATCAGTTAACAAACACCAGTCAAACCACATATACAGCCGTTCCTTTCGAGGCCACTGACTCATCAAATGTCTATAATTCTCAGTAATAATCAATAATTTCTAAACAAAGCAATCGTTAGGACTTATTAGACACATAAATGTTTCGTTACATTGAAATCTATGAACTTTAACCCCTTATATAAAAATAAAATAACTATTCTTTATTCATTGAATAAATTTGATTTGCTTAAAATGACTTTGATAAATTACTTTTAAAATGATTTTAATTACCTACGCTATTTTATAAAAATAATGTTTATTCTAAATTATAACAGTCAATTATAAATGAATGACTAGTCTTATTGATAACACCTCCATTGCAATAGATTTGCCTCAAAAATGTGTTCCTGTTTTACTTTTTTAGTAAATTAATACTAGAATTTGATTGAAAACAAACCAAAAAGTTTGACAATATAACAAAATATTCAGTACAGACCAGTGTTAAAATGGAAATAATTTTTATTTTGTGCTTAATTTCGTAAATACAATATCATTTTACCGGTATTGTTTATATTTCAATTGAATTACTTTAGTTGTATAAAGTTGACTATAAAGTTAATATTTTTTTAAATAAAAATACTACCGATAATATGATATATTAACAAATAAAATATATTGCTCTATAATTATATTTTTAATTCATATAAAACTTTGTTTTATTGATAAAAAAGATTTGAAAATTCTTCAAATAAAAACTTAACATTTAATTTAGAAAATGCATGGATAAAACACATTTAACTAATAGTCACTTGAGATGATCTGACATTAGTGTAGAATTCTTTGTATTCCTTGACAACCGTTGCTCTAATGATTGAAAATTAAAGTATTTCAATTGAAAATATTCAAGAATGTGTCTGATTACTTACCTGAACTCGACTTTTCCCTTAAATTTCTTGGGTGCCGTCCAGGTTAAAGTGACACTTGTTTTCTCATCATTATCCTTATGAGTTACTGCATTCTATATGCAAATAATCATTTATAAGTTAAATGATTGTAACTATTGCTTGAAATACTGGAAATAACTGGAAATTTGGTGTCACTTACAGAAGTTGAGCTACAGGTGAGGAGTTTACTGTCGGCGGTTGCGGTGAATTTGCCGATTGTAGTGCTCGTATTGGGCACCCGAGCGGTCACTTGGAATCCTTTGAAGCTTTTGCCGCCGCTTCCGGTAATAGTGACGGTGAGTGTCTTATCTCCGTTGGCAAGTGCTTTGGGAGCGGTGGCCACCAGAGTGAAGGGTGACTTACCTGTCTTTGCCTTGATTTTGTCATGACTGGGCATAGAAGTCTTACAACTGGGAGCCCCTCCGGGGTAACAGTGACACACCGCCAGACAAGACAACAGAATCAGTGACAGAAATTTCATCGCTAGTATTGTATGTCTGGGTTTGCAGTAAATGACTGATCACTGGACGCATAGGAAATGTGTATTAAAAGGAAAGTATTGGAGGGTTAGACAAATTAAGGCCAAGTAATTCAACAAAGATTTTCGACGAATCATTTGAATCGAGATTTGACGCAAAAAGCTGTTTGAAGCTTACCTTCAATTCAGACACTGAATAGATGTTCAATTGAATGAATATTTTAGTTTTCAATTAGTCGCTAATCAAGGCTGACACACGTAACCATTCATTTGATTTGTTTGAAACATTCATTTAATTATTTGACAGCATATTGTAACTGTCTTTCCATAACCTCAATGATAGCCATTCCAAAGGAAATCATAGATTGTCCTCATTTTGAAAGCTTTTAGTTATTCTATAGTTTTTGTCTCTCCTTTCGTTGGTGTCTATCAAATAGTATTGAAAGCGAAGCCAAAACTCGTTTCAAATGCGATCTTGAAATTGAAAGTTAAAAACACTTATCAAACAGTTAGTTGTCCTCACAATTGACCCCTTATTTTGTTTAATGATTTTGCTTTTCATAAACACTATTGTATTAAATGTTTATTTTGTAATAATTCTTATTATCAAATATTAATAACTATTACAACATTTAATCCTTCTATAAAAATATATTTGTTTGTTTCTGTTGTTATTTTAAAAACTTTTTATTATTTATTTTTTTAACTTTTAAAACAATTCAATGAATTAGTTATTTTATTTGAAAAAAATTATAACAAATGTTTTTCAAGTAACATAAATGAAAATTGTTTACTAAACATATTATATATATTTATCAAAATAATTAATGAATCATTAACTTTTTGTTTTATTTACAATAATTTAAGATATGTTTAATTACAGATATTGTATATAATTATGCTAACTTTTAAACCAATTACTCTCAGACTTTATTGTCATTTAAGTTTGTTTACTCGACAGATTTTATTAATTAGAAAATTTTTCTTATTTACATTTTATAATTAATTTATAATTACAATATTATGATTACATTTTGTAAATATCAACATTCTATTAATTATTAATATAAGTTTAGTTATTATTATAACAATTTATTATTTAGCCCCATTTTCTTATTTACATTTTATAATTAATTTATAATTACAATATTATGATTACATTTTGTAAATATCAACATTCTATTAATTATTAATATAAGTTTAGTTATTATTATAACAATTTATTATTTAGACCCATACTTAATTTAATTGTCGTTCACGTCAGTAACTATTTATAAAATATTAATAAAACTTTAATTTTTATATAAAATTATATTTGTTCCAACTTTTTTATCATAAGTTTCATTCATGTGATTCTTGTATCCGTTTAAATCTATTTTATTATTTATATTTTCAAATAAATTTTCTATTTATAATAGCCTTCAGAAAACAAAATACATTAACTATTAGAATTATGCATTGATTATTCTGTATCTTATGACAATTAATTCATAAATACTGCCAAAAATAATTATTTCACTTCAAATTGCTTACAAGTTAGAAATTATAACTTATTCTCAGTATTTTAAGAATCTTATATTTTTTATTAGAATTAAGGCAACCAAATATGTTAAATCAAATTTATTTTTAAAAAGTTATCTGATAGTATGAATATAATTATTTTTAATTGAGTCAAAAAATGTCTTGCTTTTGATATAAAAAACTTAATAATCAATTCAATATTAAACTAAACATAAGACAAACAATTACTTAAGATACAGTATTCATATAGAATTCTCTTAAAAATCAAGTACTAAATATAAATAGTGATCACTTTTGTAACAATTACACAAAAATATTTAATCTCCGCAAATTATCCATGCTAATTTAGTCTTTATTGTAGTCTGAGAGAGAGTTAGAGTGACATTGAAATGCATTTGACACTGGATTCTCGTACGCCCTCTCGACCCCAACCTATTTTGGACTATTGTATAGAATCTATACTATAGATATATAGTATACTATATATCTATACTATAGATATTTTTGTCGAAAATAGTAAATCAAAATTTTATTCAAATAATAAATTCATAACCATTCGCACAATCAATCATTTGTCAGATAATGTCTTTAAATTTTGAAATTCAAAAATTTAATACTTGGTGACAACTTTGATTTTGATATGGTATTCAAGTCTATCATAAAGTCTCATCACAATCAGATCCAATTGACAACTATTATAAATAAATAAATAAATGAAATGAAAATAATGATCCAAAATCTC